TCGCTGGCAAACAATTGCCACTGATGCAACAGCTCGTGTGTGGCTGTCCGAATTCGCTGGCAAACAATGGCATACGATGCCGTTGATGCTACAGTTCGTGAGCGGCTGTCCGAATTCGCTGGCAAACAATTGCCACTGATGCAACAGCTCGTGTGTGGCTGTCCGAATTCGCTGGCAAACAATGGCATACGATGCCGTTGATGCTACAGTTCGTGAGCGGCTGTCCGAATTCGCTGGCAAACAATGGCAAACGATGCCGTTGACGCTACAGCTCGTGTGCTGCTGTCCGAACTCGCTGGCAAACAATTGCCACTGATGCAACAGCTCGTGTGCTGCTGTCCGAATTCGCTGGCAAACAATGGCAAACGATGCCGTTGATGCTACAGCTCGTGTGCTGCTGTCCGAATTCGCTGGCAAACAATGGCAAACGATGCCGTTGATGCTACAGCTCGTGCGCTGCTGTCCGAACTCGCTGGCAAACAATGGCAAACGATGCCGTTGATGCTACAGTTCGTGTGCTGCTGTCCGAATTCGCTGGCAAACAATTGCCACTGATGCAACAGCTCGTGTGCTGCTGTCCAAATTCGCGGGCAAACAATGGCAAACGATGCCGTTGATGCTACAGCTCGTGTGCTGCTGTCCGAATTCGCTGGCAAACAATGGCAAACGATGCCGTTGACGCTACAGCTCGTGTGCTGCTGTCCGAACTCGCTGGCAAACAATTGCCACTGATGCAACAGCTCGTGTGCTGCTGTCCAAATTCGCTGGCAAACAATGGCAAACGATGCCGTTGATGCTACAGCTCGTGTGCTGCTGTCCGAATTCGCTGGCAAACAATGGCAAACGATGCCGTTGACGCTACAGCTCGTGTGCTGCTGTCCGAATTCGCTGGCAAACAATTGCCACTGATGCAACAGCTCGTGTGCTGCTGTCCGAATTCGCTGGCAAACAATGGCAAACGATGCCGTTGATGCTACAGCTCGTGTGCTGCTGTCCGAATTCGCTGGCAAACAATGGCAAACGATGCCGTTGATGCTACAGCTCGTGTGCTGCTGTCCGAACTCGCTGGCAAACAATGGCAAACGATGCCGTTGATGCTACAGTTCGTGTGCTGCTGTCCGAATTCGCTGGCAAACAATTGCCACTGATGCAACAGCTCGTGTGTTGCTGTCCAAATTCGCTGGCAAACAATGGCAAACGATGCCGTTGATGCTACAGCTCGTGTGCTGCTGTCCGAATTCGCTGGCAAACAATGGCAAACGATGCCGTTGACGCTACAGCTCGTGTGCTGCTGTCCGAACTCGCTGGCAAACAATTGCCACTGATGCAACAGCTCGTGTGCTGCTGTCCGAATTCGCTGGCAAACAATGGCAAACGATGCCGTTGATGCTACAGCTCGTGTGCTGCTGTCCGAACTCGCTGGCAAACAATGGCAAACGATGCCGTTGATGCTACAGTTCGTGTGCTGCTGTCCGAATTCGCTGGCAAACAATTGCCACTGATGCAACAGCTCGTGTGCTGCTGTCCGAATTCGCTGGCAAACAATGGCAAACGATGCCGTTGATGCTACAGTTCGTGAGTGGCTGTCCGAATTCGCTGGCAAACAATGACAAACGATGCCGTTGATGCTACAGTTCTTATGCTGCTGTCCGAATTCGCTGGCAAACAATTGCCACTGATGCAACAGCTCGTGTGTGGCTGTCCGAATTCGCTGGCAAACAATGGCATACGATGCCGTTGATGCTACAGTTCGTGAGCTGCTGTCCGAATTCGCTGGCAAACAATTGCCACTGATGCAACAGCTCGTGTGTGGCTGTCCGAATTCGCTGGCAAACAATGGCATACGATGCCGTTGATGCTACAGTTCGTGAGCGGCTGTCCGAATTCGCTGACAAACAATGGCAAACGATGCCGTTGACGCTACAGCTCGTGTGCTGCTGTCCGAACTCGCTGGCAAACAATTGCCACTGATGCAACAGCTCGTGTGCTGCTGTCCGAATTCGCTGGCAAACAATGGCAAACGATGCCGTTGATGCTACAGCTCGTGTGCTGCTGTCCGAATTCGCTGGCAAACAATGGCAAACGATGCCGTTGATGCTACAGCTCGTGTGCTGCTGTCCGAACTCGCTGGCAAACAATGGCAAACGATGCCGTTGATGCTACAGTTCGTGTGCTGCTGTCCGAATTCGCTGGCAAACAATTGCCACTGATGCAACAGCTCGTGTGCTGCTGTCCAAATTCGCTGGCAAACAATGGCAAACGATGCCGTTGATGCTACAGCTCGTGTGCTGCTGTCCGAATTCGCTGGCAAACAATGGCAAACGATGCCGTTGACGCTACAGCTCGTGTGCTGCTGTCCGAACTCGCTGGCAAACAATTGCCACTGATGCAACAGCTCGTGTGCTGCTGTCCAAATTCGCTGGCAAACAATGGCAAACGATGCCGTTGATGCTACAGCTCGTGTGCTGCTGTCCGAATTCGCTGGCAAACAATGGCAAACGATGCCGTTGACGCTACAGCTCGTGTGCTGCTGTCCGAATTCGCTGGCAAACAATTGCCACTGATGCAACAGCTCGTGTGCTGCTGTCCGAATTCGCTGGCAAACAATGGCATACGATGCCGTTGATGCTACAGTTCGTGAGCGGCTGTCCGAATTCGCTGGCAAACAATGGCAAACGATGCCGTTGACGCTACAGCTCGTGTGCTGCTGTCCGAACTCGCTGGCAAACAATTGCCACTGATGCAACAGCTCGTGTGCTGCTGTCCGAATTCGCTGGCAAACAATGGCAAACGATGCCGTTGATGCTACAGCTCGTGTGCTGCTGTCCGAATTCGCTGGCAAACAATGGCAAACGATGCCGTTGATGCTACAGCTCGTGTGCTGCTGTCCGAACTCGCTGGCAAACAATGGCAAACGATGCCGTTGATGCTACAGTTCGTGTGCTGCTGTCCGAATTCGCTGGCAAACAATTGCCACTGATGCAACAGCTCGTGTGCTGCTGTCCAAATTCGCTGGCAAACAATGGCAAACGATGCCGTTGATGCTACAGCTCGTGTGCTGCTGTCCGAATTCGCTGGCAAACAATGGCAAACGATGCCGTTGACGCTACAGCTCGTGTGCTGCTGTCCGAACTCGCTGGCAAACAATTGCCACTGATGCAACAGCTCGTGTGCTGCTGTCCAAATTCGCTGGCAAACAATGGCAAACGATGCCGTTGATGCTACAGCTCGTGTGCTGCTGTCCGAATTCGCTGGCAAACAATGGCAAACGATGCCGTTGACGCTACAGCTCGTGTGCTGCTGTCCGAATTCGCTGGCAAACAATTGCCACTGATGCAACAGCTCGTGTGCTGCTGTCCGAATTCGCTGGCAAACAATGGCAAACGATGCCGTTGATGCTACAGCTCGTGTGCTGCTGTCCGAATTCGCTGGCAAACAATGGCAAACGATGCCGTTGATGCTACAGCTCGTGTGCTGCTGTCCGAACTCGCTGGCAAACAATGGCAAACGATGCCGTTGATGCTACAGTTCGTGTGCTGCTGTCCGAATTCGCTGGCAAACAATTGCCACTGATGCAACAGCTCGTGTGCTGCTGTCCAAATTCGCTGGCAAACAATGGCAAACGATGCCGTTGATGCTACAGCTCGTGTGCTGCTGTCCGAATTCGCTGGCAAACAATGGCAAACGATGCCGTTGACGCTACAGCTCGTGTGCTGCTGTCCGAATTCGCTGGCAAACAATTGCCACTGATGCAACAGCTCGTGTGCTGCTGTCCGAATTCGCTGGCAAACAATGGCAAACGATGCCGTTGATGCTACAGCTCGTGTGCTGCTGTCCGAATTCGCTGGCAAACAATGGCAAACGATGCCGTTGATGCTACAGCTCGTGTGCTGCTGTCCGAATTCGCTGGCAAACAATGGCAAACGATGCCGTTGATGCTACAGTTCGTGAGTGGCTGTCCGAATTCGCTGGCAAACAATGACAAACGATGCCGTTGATGCTACAGTTCTTATGCTGCTGTCCGAATTCGCTGGCAAACAATTGCCACTGATGCAACAGCTCGTGTGTGGCTGTCCGAATTCGCTGGCAAACAATGGCATACGATGCCGTTGATGCTACAGTTCGTGAGCGGCTGTCCGAATTCGCTGGCAAACAATTGCCACTGATGCAACAGCTCGTGTGTGGCTGTCCGAATTCGCTGGCAAACAATGGCATACGATGCCGTTGATGCTACAGTTCGTGAGCGGCTGTCCGAATTCGCTGGCAAACAATGGCAAACGATGCCGTTGACGCTACAGCTCGTGTGCTGCTGTCCGAACTCGCTGGCAAACAATTGCCACTGATGCAACAGCTCGTGTGCTGCTGTCCGAATTCGCTGGCAAACAATGGCAAACGATGCCGTTGATGCTACAGCTCGTGTGCTGCTGTCCGAATTCGCTGGCAAACAATGGCAAACGATGCCGTTGATGCTACAGCTCGTGTGCTGCTGTCCGAACTCGCTGGCAAACAATGGCAAACGATGCCGTTGATGCTACAGTTCGTGTGCTGCTGTCCGAATTCGCTGGCAAACAATTGCCACTGATGCAACAGCTCGTGTGCTGCTGTCCAAATTCGCTGGCAAACAATGGCAAACGATGCCGTTGATGCTACAGCTCGTGTGCTGCTGTCCGAATTCGCTGGCAAACAATGGCAAACGATGCCGTTGACGCTACAGCTCGTGTGCTGCTGTCCGAACTCGCTGGCAAACAATTGCCACTGATGCAACAGCTCGTGTGCTGCTGTCCAAATTCGCTGGCAAACAATGGCAAACGATGCCGTTGATGCTACAGCTCGTGTGCTGCTGTCCGAATTCGCTGGCAAACAATGGCAAACGATGCCGTTGACGCTACAGCTCGTGTGCTGCTGTCCGAATTCGCTGGCAAACAATTGCCACTGATGCAACAGCTCGTGTGCTGCTGTCCGAATTCGCTGGCAAACAATGGCAAACGATGCCGTTGATGCTACAGCTCGTGTGCTGCTGTCCGAATTCGCTGGCAAACAATGGCAAACGATGCCGTTGATGCTACAGCTCGTGTGCTGCTGTCCGAACTCGCTGGCAAACAATGGCAAACGATGCCGTTGATGCTACAGTTCGTGTGCTGCTGTCCGAATTCGCTGGCAAACAATTGCCACTGATGCAACAGCTCGTGTGCTGCTGTCCAAATTCGCTGGCAAACAATGGCAAACGATGCCGTTGATGCTACAGCTCGTGTGCTGCTGTCCGAATTCGCTGGCAAACAATGGCAAACGATGCCGTTGACGCTACAGCTCGTGTGCTGCTGTCCGAACTCGCTGGCAAACAATTGCCACTGATGCAACAGCTCGTGTGCTGCTGTCCAAATTCGCTGGCAAACAATGGCAAACGATGCCGTTGATGCTACAGCTCGTGTGCTGCTGTCCGAACTCGCTGGCAAACAATGGCAAACGATGCCGTTGATGCTACAGTTCGTGTGCTGCTGTCCGAATTCGCTGGCAAACAATTGCCACTGATGCAACAGCTCGTGTGCTGCTGTCCAAATTCGCTGGCAAACAATGGCAAACGATGCCGTTGATGCTACAGCTCGTGTGCTGCTGTCCGAATTCGCTGGCAAACAATGGCAAACGATGCCGTTGACGCTACAGCTCGTGTGCTGCTGTCCGAACTCGCTGGCAAACAATTGCCACTGATGCAACAGCTCGTGTGCTGCTGTCCAAATTCGCTGGCAAACAATGGCAAACGATGCCGTTGATGCTACAGCTCGTGTGCTGCTGTCCGAATTCGCTGGCAAACAATGGCAAACGATGCCGTTGACGCTACAGCTCGTGTGCTGCTGTCCGAATTCGCTGGCAAACAATTGCCACTGATGCAACAGCTCGTGTGCTGCTGTCCAAATTCGCTGGCAAACAATGGCAAACGATGCCGTTGATGCTACAGCTCGTGTGCTGCTGTCCGAATTCGCTGGCAAACAATGGCAAACGATGCCGTTGACGCTACAGCTCGTGTGCTGCTGTCCGAACTCGCTGGCAAACAATTGCCACTGATGCAACAGCTCGTGTGCTCCTGTCCGAATTCGCTGGCAAACAATGGCAAACGATGCCGTTGATGCTACAGCTCGTGTGCTGCTGTCCGAATTCGCTGGCAAACAATGGCAAACGACGCCGTTGATGCTACAGCTCGTGTGCTGCTGTCCGAACTCGCTGGCAAACAATGGCAAACGATGCCGTTGATGCTACAGTTCGTGTGCTGCTGTCCGAATTCGCTGGCAAACAATTGCCACTGATGCAACAGCTCGTGTGCTGCTGTCCAAATTCGCTGGCAAACAATGGCAAACGATGCCGTTGATGCTACAGCTCGTGTGCTGCTGTCCGAATTCGCTGGCAAACAATGGCAAACGATGCCGTTGACGCTACAGCTCGTGTGCTGCTGTCCGAACTCGCTGGCAAACAATTGCCACTGATGCAACGGCTCGTGTGCTGCTGTCCGAATTCGCTGGCAAACAATGGCAAACGATGCCGTTGATGCTACAGCTCGTGTGCTGCTGTCCGAATTCGCTGGCAAACAATGGCAAACGATGCCGTTGATGCTACAGCTCGTGTGCTGCTGTCCGAACTCGCTGGCAAACAATGGCAAACGATGCCGTTGATGCTACAGTTCGTGTGCTGCTGTCCGAATTCGCTGGCAAACAATTGCCACTGATGCAACAGCTCGTGTGCTGCTGTCCGAATTCGCTGGCAAACAATGGCAAACGATGCCGTTGATGCTACAGTTCGTGAGTGGCTGTCCGAATGCGCTGGCAAACAATGGCAAACGATGCCGTTGATGCTACAATTCGTGTGCTGCTGTCCGAATTCGCTGGCAAACAATGACAAACGATGCCGTTGATGCTACAGTTCTTATGCTGCTGTCCGAATTCGCTGGCAAACAATTGCCACTGATGCAACAGCTCGTGTGTGGCTGTCCGAATTCGCTGGCAAACAATGGCATACGATGCCGTTGATGCTACAGTTCGTGAGCGGCTGTCCGAATTCGCTGGCAAACAATTGCCACTGATGCAACAGCTCGTGTGTGGCTGTCCGAATTCGCTGGCAAACAATGGCATACGATGCCGTTGATGCTACAGTTCGTGAGCGGCTGTCCAAATTCGCTGGCAAACAATTGCCACTGATGCAACAGCTCGTGTGCTGCTGTCCGAATTCGCTGGCAAACAATGGCATACGATGCCGTTGATGCTACAGTTCGTGAGCGGCTGTCCGAATTCGCTGGCAAACAATGGCAAACGATGCCGTTGATGCTACAATTCGTGTGCTGCTGTCCGAATTCGCTGGCAGACAATGACAAACGATGCCGTTGATGCTACAGTTCGTGAGTGGCTGTCCGAATTCGCTGGCAAACGATGGCAAACGATGCCTTTGATGCTACAGCTCGTGTGCTGCTGTCCGAATTCGCTGGCAAACAATGACAAATGATGCCGTTGATGCTACAGTTCGTGAGTGGCTGTCCGAATTCGCTGGCAAACGATGGCAAACGATGCCTTTGATGCTACAGCTCGTGTGCTGCTGTCCGAATTCGCTGGCAAACAATGGCAAACGATGCCGTTGATGCTACAGTTCGTGAGTGGCTGTCCGAATTCGCTGGCAAACAATGGCAAACAATGCCGTTGATGCTACAGTTCGTGTGCTGCTGTCCGAATTCGCTGGCAAACAATGGCAAACGATGCCGTTGATGCTACAGCTCGTGTGCTGCTGTCCGAACTCGCTGGCAAACAATGGCAAACGATGCCGTTGATGCTACAGTTCGTGAGTGGCTGTCCGAATTCGCTGGCAAACAATGGCAAACAATGCCGTTGATGCTACAGTTCGTGTGCTGCTGTCCGAATTCGCTGGCAAACAATGGCAAACGATGCCGTTGACGCTACAGCTCGTGTGCTGCTGTCCGAATTCGCTGGCAAACAATGGCAAACGATGCCGTTGATGCTACAGCTCGTGTGCTGCTGTCCGAATTAGCTGGCAAACAATGGCAAACGATGCCGTTGATGCTACAGTTCGTATGCTGCTGTCCGAATTCGCTGGCAAAGAATGGCAAACGATGCCGTTGATGCTACAGTTCGTATGCTGCTGTCCGAATTCGCTGGCAAACAATGGCAAACGATGCCGTTGATGCTACAGCTCGTGTGCTGCTGTCCGAATTCGCTGGCAAACAATGGCAAACGATGCCGTTGATGCTACAGTTCGTGTGCTGCTGTCCGAATTCGCTGGCAAACAATGGCAAACGATGCCGTTGATGCTACAGTTCGTGAGCGGCTGTCCGAATTCGCTGGCTAACAATGGCAAACGATGCCGTTGATGCTACAATTCGTGTGCTGCTGTCCGAATTTGCTGGCAAACAATGGCAAACGATGCCGTTGATGCTACAGTTCATGTGCTGCTGTCCGAATTCGCTGGCAAACAATTGCCGCTGATGCAACAGCTCGTGAGTGGCTTTCCGAATTCGCTGACAAACGATGGCAAACGATGCCGTTGATGCTACAGCTCGTGAGCTGCTGTCCGAATTCGCTGGCAAACAATTGCCACTGATGCAACAGCTCGTGTGCTGCTGTCCAAATTCGCTGGCAAACAATGGCAAACGATGCCGTTGATGCTACAGTTCGTGTGCTGCTGTCCGAATTCGCTGGCAAACAATTGCCACTGATGCAACAGCTCGTGTGCTGCTGTCCAAATTCGCTGGCAAACAATGGCAAACGATGCCGTTGATGCTACAGCTCGTGTGCTGCTGTCCGAATTCGCTGGCAAACAATGGCAAACGATGCCGTTGACGCTACAGCTCGTGTGCTGCTGTCCGAACTCGCTGGCAAACAATTGCCACTGATGCAACGCTCGTGTGCTGCTGTCCGAATTCGCTGGCAAACAATGGCAAACGATGCCGTTGATGCTACAGCTCGTGTGCTGCTGTCCGAATTCGCTGGCAAACTATGGCAAACGATGCCGTTGATGCTACATCTCGTGTGCTGCTGTCCGAACTCGCTGGCAAACAATGGCAAACGATGCCGTTGATGCTACAGTTCGTGTGCTGCTGTCCGAATTCGCTGGCAAACAATTGCCACTGATGCAACAGCTCGTGTGCTGCTGTCCAAATTCGCTGGCAAACAATGGCAAACGATGCCGTTGATGCTACAGTTCGTGTGCTGCTGTCCAAATTCGCTGGCAAACAATGGCAAACGATGCCGTTGATGCTACAGCTCGTGTGCTGCTGTCCGAATTCGCTGGCAAACAATGGCAAACGATGCCGTTGACGCTACAGCTCGTGTGCTGCTGTCCGAACTCGCTGGCAAACAATTGCCACTGATGCAACAGCTCGTGTGCTGCTGTCCGAATTCGCTGGCAAACAATGGCAAACGATGCCGTTGATGCTACAGCTCGTGTGCTGCTGTCCGAATTCGCTGGCAAACAATGGCAAACGATGCCGTTGACGCTACAGCTCGTGTGCTGCTGTCCGAACTTGCTGGCAAACAATTGCCACTGATGCAACAGCTCGTGTACTGCTGTCCGAATTCGCTGGCAAACAATGGCAAACGATGCCGTTGACGCTACAGCTCGTGTGCTGCTGTCCGAACTCGCTGGCAAACAATTGCCACTGATGCTACAGCTCGTGTGCTGCTGTCCGAATTCGCTGGCAAACAATGGCAAACGATGCCGTTGATGCTACATCTCGTGTGCTGCTGTCCGAACTCGCTGGCAAACAATGGCAAACGATGCCGTTGATGCTACAGTTCGTGTGCTGCTGTCCGAATTCGCTGGCAAACAATTGCCACTGATGCAACAGCTCGTGTGCTGCTGTCCAAATTCGCTGGCAAACAATGGCAAACGATGCCGTTGATGCTACATCTCGTGTGCTGCTGTCCGAACTCGCTGGCAAACAATGGCAAACGATGCCGTTGATGCTACATCTCGTGTGCTGCTGTCCGAACTCGCTGGCAAACAATGGCAAACGATGCCGTTGATGCTACATCTCGTGTGCTGCTGTCCGAACTCGCTGGCAAACAATGGCAAACGATGCCGTTGATGCTACAGCTCGTGTGCTGCTGTCCGAATTCGCTGGCAAACAATGGCAAACGATGCCGTTGACGCTACAGCTCGTGTGCTGCTGTCCGAACTCGCTGGCAAACAATTGCCACTGATGCAACAGCTCGTGTGCTGCTGTCCGAATTCGCTGGCAAACTATGGCAAACGATGCCGTTGATGCTACAGCTCGTGTGCTGCTGTCCGAATTCGCTGGCAAACAATGGCAAACGATGCCGTTGATGCTACAGCTCGTGTGCTGCTGTCCGAACTCGCTGGCAAACAATGGCAAACGATGCCGTTGATGCTACAGCTCGTGTGCTGCTGTCCGAATTCGCTGGCAAACAATGGCAAACGATGCCGTTGACGCTACAGCTCGTGTGCTGCTGTCCGAACTCGCTGGCAAACAATTGCCACTGATGCAACAGCTCGTGTGCTGCTGTCCGAATTCGCTGGCAAACAATGGCAAACGATGCCGTTGATGCTACAGCTCGTGTGCTGCTGTCCGAATTCGCTGGCAAACAATGGCAAACGATGCCGTTGACGCTACAGCTCGTGTGCTGCTGTCCGAACTTGCTGGCAAACAATTGCCACTGATGCAACAGCTCGTGTACTGCTGTCCGAATTCGCTGGCAAACAATGGCAAACGATGCCGTTGACGCTACAGCTCGTGTGCTGCTGTCCGAACTCGCTGGCAAACAATTGCCACTGATGCTACAGCTCGTGTGCTGCTGTCCGAATTCGCTGGCAAACAATGGCAAACGATGCCGTTGATGCTACATCTCGTGTGCTGCTGTCCGAACTCGCTGGCAAACAATGGCAAACGATGCCGTTGATGCTACAGTTCGTGTGCTGCTGTCCGAATTCGCTGGCAAACAATTGCCACTGATGCAACAGCTCGTGTGCTGCTGTCCAAATTCGCTGGCAAACAATGGCAAACGATGCCGTTGATGCTACATCTCGTGTGCTGCTGTCCGAACTCGCTGGCAAACAATGGCAAACGATGCCGTTGATGCTACATCTCGTGTGCTGCTGTCCGAACTCGCTGGCAAACAATGGCAAACGATGCCGTTGATGCTACATCTCGTGTGCTGCTGTCCGAACTCGCTGGCAAACAATGGCAAACGATGCCGTTGATGCTACAGCTCGTGTGCTGCTGTCCGAATTCGCTGGCAAACAATGGCAAACGATGCCGTTGACGCTACAGCTCGTGTGCTGCTGTCCGAACTCGCTGGCAAACAATTGCCACTGATGCAACAGCTCGTGTGCTGCTGTCCGAATTCGCTGGCAAACTATGGCAAACGATGCCGTTGATGCTACAGCTCGTGTGCTGCTGTCCGAATTCGCTGGCAAACAATGGCAAACGATGCCGTTGATGCTACAGCTCGTGTGCTGCTGTCCGAACTCGCTGGCAAACAATGGCAAACGATGCCGTTGATGCTACAGTTCGTGTGCTGCTGTCCGAATTCGCTGGCAAACAATTGCCACTGATGCAACAGCTCGTGTGCTGCTGTCCGAATTCGCTGGCAAACAATGGCAAACGATGCCGTTGACGCTACAGCTCGTGTGCTGCTGTCCGAACTCGCTGGCAAACAATTGCCACTGATGCTACAGCTCGTGTGCTGCTGTCCGAATTCGCTGGCAAACAATGGCAAACGATGCTGTTGATGCTACATCTCGTGTGCTGCTGTCCGAACTCGCTGGCAAACAATGGCAAACGATGCCGTTGACGCTACAGCTCGTGTGCTGCTGTCCGAACTCGCTGGCAAACAATTGCCACTGATGCAACAGCTCGTGTGCTGCTGTCCGAATTCGCTGGCAAACTATGGCAAACGATGCCGTTGATGCTACAGCTCGTGTGCTGCTGTCCGAATTCGCTGGCAAACAATGGCAAACGATGCCGTTGATGCTACAGCTCGTGTGCTGCTGTCCGAACTCGCTGGCAAACAATGGCAAACGATGCCGTTGATGCTACAGTTCGTGTGCTGCTGTCCGAATTCGCTGGCAAACAATTGCCACTGATGCAACAGCTCGTGTGCTGCTGTCCGAATTCGCTGGCAAACAATGGCAAACGATGCCGTTGACGCTACAGCTCGTGTGCTGCTGTCCGAACTCGCTGGCAAACAATTGCCACTGATGCTACAGCTCGTGTGCTGCTGTCCGAATTCGCTGGCAAACAATGGCAAACGATGCCGTTGATGCTACATCTCGTGTGCTGCTGTCCGAACTCGCTGGCAAACAATGGCAAACGATGCCGTTGATGCTACAGTTCGTGTGCTGCTGTCCGAATTCGCTGGCAAACAATTGCCACTGATGCAACAGCTCGTGTGCTGCTGTCCAAATTCGCTGGCAAACAATGGCAAACGATGCCGTTGATGCTACATCTCGTGTGCTGCTGTCCGAACTCGCTGGCAAACAATGGCAAACGATGCCGTTGATGCTACATCTCGTGTGCTGCTGTCCGAACTCGCTGGCAAACAATGGCAAACGATGCCGTTGATGCTACATCTCGTGTGCTGCTGTCCGAATTCGCTGGCAAACAATGGCAAACGATGCCGTTGACGCTACAGCTCGTGTGTTGCTGTCCGAATTCGCTGGCAAACAATGGCAAACGATGCCGTTGATGCTACATCTCGTGTGCTGCTGTCCGAACTCGCTGGCAAACAATGGCAAACGATGCCGTTGATGCTACATCTCGTGTGCTGCTGTCCGAACTCGCTGGCAAACAATGGCAAACGATGCCGTTGATGCTACAGCTCGTGTGCTGCTGTCCGAATTCGCTGGCAAACAATGGCAAACGATGCCGTTGACGCTACAGCTCGTGTGCTGCTGTCCGAACTCGCTGGCAAACAATTGCCACTGATGCAACAGCTCGTGTGCTGCTGTCCGAATTCGCTGGCAAACTATGGCAAACGATGCCGTTGATGCTACAGCTCGTGTGCTGCTGTCCGAATTCGCTGGCAAACAATGGCAAACGATGCCGTTGATGCTACAGCTCGTGTGCTGCTGTCCGAACTCGCTGGCAAACAATGGCAAACGATGCCGTTGATGCTACAGTTCGTGTGCTGCTGTCCGAATTCGCTGGCAAACAATTGCCACTGATGCAACAGCTCGTGTGCTGCTGTCCGAATTCGCTGGCAAACAATGGCAAACGATGCCGTTGATGCTACAGTTCGTGAGTGGCTGTCCGAATGCGCTGGCAAACAATGGCAAACGATGCCGTTGATGCTACAATTCGTGTGCTGCTGTCCGAATTCGCTGGCAAACAATGACAAACGATGCCGTTGATGCTACAGTTCTTATGCTGCTGTCCGAATTCGCTGGCAAACAATTGCCACTGATGCAACAGCTCGTGTGTGGCTG